ACCGCCGGTAGAGTCTTAATTATAAATTATGGTTAACAAGTCAGGTGCTTGAAAGGCTGCAGAATATCTGTTGGAAGCGTATCACGTTTGTTATCAGACAACAGCAGTGAGTGAGAAAACAGGGCAAAATGAAAAGATAACATGTCGGTTGGAAGACTCTGAGATGATACCGCAAGATGTAAACACATCTATGTAACCAAATATTGTCTGCCGCTTGTTGCGATTCTCCTTTGCAAAACAGTTCTGATGATACCGCGACTGGTATTTTAATTGGATGCTTTCGCATTGTCTATGTTAGCGAGGAAAGCTGCTTACGTCTCCCAGAGTTACTGTCATTGAAAAAAAAAATGATGACATTTATGCATGAAAAACATGGACAAGAACGTATACTGCAGAAGTAGTGGTATAATACAAAATTGACAATCAGATTATAGCTAGATAAATTGAAACAGACGTTTTTTGCTTTTAATTTAACAATAACGATATTTAAGATTATTTTAATTCGCATTGCGCCATCTGTATATTTTCTCCGTACGTTCGTTTAAGTTAGGTCAATGTTATCGATTTTATTTCATAGTTTCTTATTTTTTCGTTAGAGGTTATCCGAATGTACCTTTCTGTATTGTTCCCTTTCTTTAATATTTCACGTGCTCGTTACTTATTCCCTCTTGGTGTTCTTTTGTGAAGAATGCACTTTAGCGGTTTTATATTTTACCAGCGACGTACGCGGTAAAGGTTTTGTCTTCTCTTCTCCTTCTCTTGATTTTTTTCTTCTTTTTTACTTTTGTACCTAAATATTTTGACCTACATTGACGTCCTTGAGAAGTACGCAGAATTTGATTGCTACACTTTTGGAAAACTACTTGATCGCCTTCTTATGAAGATGGCATTATGTGATACTTGCTCCAGTGACCTTTAATTAAGTTATTTGAACTTAATGTTATGTTTATGCTTTTATACAGGGCCTTGCAACAGTGCGTCGGTCTTTCCTAGCTCATACCTGGTAAAAAATATCAAAAAACCTTATGTGCAAACGTTATCCATAGATACAGAAATTAATTTTGAATGTACAGGGTGCCCATTTTTACGGTCCATACACAACTGACTTTTTAGTGGAACGCGCAGTATATTTTTAGTTCAACAGTTACAGCCCTTTGAATTTTTTTTCGAAATTGGTTTCTAGTCTATAACTTTTGATTAAGAAGTCTGATTGAAAAAGTACGAATTGATTTGGATTCTACGCACCCAAATTAATAAGAAAAAGTGTTTTCCCGAGAAATTTTGGTGTAGTCGATTTTTGGTAAAAAAGGAAGGCCTTTTTTTGAGCCCCGAAGAAAAAATTGTCTCAGATCGACCCGGAAAAAAAATTTTCTTATAGAATGTGGCCTGTAGAATCCATAATTTCAAACAGTTCCAAGATTGGGCTACTAGTTCAAAAGTTACAGCCCTTTGAATTTTTTTTCGAAATTGGTTTCTAGTCTATAACTTTTGATTGAGAAGTCTGATCGAAAAAGTACGAATTGTTTTGGATTCTACGCACCAAATTAATAAGAAAAAGTGTTTTCCCGAGAAATTTTGGTGTAGTCGATTTTTGGTAAAAAAGGAAGGTTATACACTGTCTTTTTTTGAGCCCCGAAAAGAACATTGTCTCAGATCGACCCGGAAAAAAAATTTTTCTTATAGAATGTGGCCTGTAGAATCCATAATTTCAAACAGTTCCAAGATTGGGCTACTAGTTCAAAAGTTACAGCCCTTTGAATTTTTTTTCGAAATTGGTTTCTAGTCATAACTTTTGATTGAGAAGTCAGATCGAAAAAGTACGAATTGTTTTGGATTCTACGCACTCAAATTAATAAGAAAAAGTGTTTTCCCTAGAAATTTTGGTGTAGTTGATTTTTGGTAAAAAAGGAAGGTTATAAACTGCCTTTTTTTTGAACCCCGAAAAAAAAATTGTCTCAGATCGACCCGGAAAAAAAATTTTCTTATAGAATGTGGCTTGTAGAATCCATAATTTCAAACAGTTCCAAGATTAAGGTACTAGTTCAAAAGTTACAGCCCTTCGAATTTTTTTTCGAAATTGGTGTCTAGTCTATAACTTTTGATTGAGAAGTCTGATCGAAAAAGTACGAATTGATTTGGATTCTACGCACCCAAATTAATAAGAAAAAGTGTTTTCCCGAGAAATTTTGGTGCAGTCGATTTTTGGTAAAAAAGGAAGGTTATACACCTGGCAAAACCCGATTTGATAAATCGTAGCGACCTTGATTTTACAGTTAACATTTGATCAATTATGTTAATCTGAATAAAAGGAAACACTTTGGTAATGAGAAAGTTAAGTTCAGTGACACAGGGTGTTCACACAAAAAAATTAAAATTTCCAGGTATCAAGTGTCATAACTAAGTTTTTTTAAAATGGAACTACCACTATTTTATTTATCTATTCGATAGTCTCTTGTGTGCTCTTCAATTTTTATAAGGGGGTGCCCTGTGCCTAAACCTCGAAGTTATACATCCAACTTCGCTCCGCTTGAGGTGTTGTAAGTTGTAAGTGATACAAATTAACGATTTTATGTTAATTAGTTCTAAAACATAAAAGCGCGTAATTAATGCAAGTCGGCATGCATTCCGAATGAAAACGCCGGATAAGTACCCGACATTGATGATTCAACAAAGTTAGCCGTAAGAATTCCAGATTTTCCACGTCGAAGGAAAAATTGTGAATAAAGAGGTTAGTTATCTTTCTGTATTCCTTTTTCAATTTCAATCGACAGCTTTACAATCCGTTATAAAAAGTTTTCTCAATGTGTATAGTTAGAAAAAGGACCTCCTGAATTTCACTGTGAAGGAAATCAAGCTCAGGGGTTTTCTATGACTTAATTGGTCAATGTGAAATCACAAATTAAAGTGTTTGAAGTGTAAATGTATTTCTGGTAATTATTAGCGATTCAACTTCAAACCATTGATCTATTTAGAGCTAGGAAGAGAGATGGCCACCTCGAAGTAAATTTTAACTATTCCAAATTTATGACAGGTAGAAGATTAGGCGATAGAAAATTCAATGTAACAAAAGGAGATGCATCCTTAAACCACCCCTATCATTTTCCAATTTGTTTCAATATACAAATAATATTTGTCACTTAGGTTTTATTACTTTACTGGACGGTACAAAGTCAAAGGTTCAATTTGTAACAAATTTTCTGGGGAGTTTGTTTGCCTCTTTTACCTCTTTTAAGAAGAATGATTTAATAGGAAACCGTAAGAGCTCGTCGGTGGTATTTTTTTAAGTTTTTATGACGCAGTTTTCTCGTTACAATTTCTCTTTTAATAAAAAACAAATCAAATTGACTTAGACAGTGCTAGAAACACAATGACTAAAGTGTATATGGAAAATCTATATTTAAAAAAAGGATGAGAAGTCAATGCAGTTCAAGGCTTGAGAGTAATATGTAGACAAAGTAAATATTAAATACAGCAGGTATTTCACGAATTTGTTGGGGTTTGTAAACGAACAATAGAACATGTTGAAAGATGGGGTACAAAAAGAATTCCATTCAATGAACCGCTTAATAAAGGCAAGAAAAGTAAAGACTATCAATTTAAGAGGAAAATCCATGCGTATGGTAAATTGTGCAAGGGAGGGTAGTAATTTCTTTACTAGTAATTCTAAACCGTTTTGCAAAGGCATCCCTTAAAAATGCAGAGAAATAAAAATCTTAGACACGACTAACACCTGCATACAGAATATTTTTCATAAATTTTGATAGCATCGCCTTATAGCGATCAGTAGTGAGATGTGCTCAGGTGGTTGAATGTAAAGTGTAGACTGTTGTAGTGAATGCGAGAGTGGTTCGAAGACTGCCCTATATTTATTTGGCCAAGGTTGCTCTACGAACCCAACCCATTTACACTCAAATGTGAAAAACAGATGGAAATAACTTGAAAACATGTTTTTCCCGTAAAGCGGAGGAAAAAAAGAGTAAACAAGTATTCTTATTGTTACTTGAGTCTTTCGATTGAAAATAAATCCTCCTCAGTGTCTCTTAATCAAGTTGTCACAATAGAAACTTGCCCCATTTGATTCAAATTAATTTTCGAACTCAATACCGGACCGGATTTAGTGTAATTATCCTATCCCTTAAATTCAAACTGAACCAACATAGAGAAGAGCTGCAAAGTGTAAACCTGCTCCATCTACAAGATAAAATACGTACCTACTGCTGGAAAATCTAACTGAGTTTTCCGACTAAGGGATGTTTCTGTAAACGATAACTTGATGTGCCTGCTGAAAACTAACAAACGGAAATGTATAGCAATGCTCTCTGTAACGATTAACTTTGCCAAGAATTTTCGTTCACGAATTTTACGAAGTGTGCTCTGGCAACGGCAATGTCTACAGTTTTAAATATTTTAGTGGTAAGACGCTTTAATGAAAATTTTCGTTTTAGTATCTTAGAAACTGCCACGAGTTTGAACTTCAGTTTGTTATTCCTCTCATTAGTTTTACGTAAAAGGTACCAGTTCTCGAAGATATAAGTTAAACATCCGATTAATTAATTAGGGAACACCATCTTGACCACAAACTTAAATTTTTAAAATGAGAGTCGCCTTGCCATTCAACATGGAATCCCTACCACCAACATCCGAAGCAGCGTATTTTGAAACCTTCCAGAAATTTTATAATTCTGTTTTTACTAATAGATAGATAATGTCAAGGGACTAACTGATTAAAAATTTTAGTCAATATCTGTCAGCGACCCAGCTAACGAGCTCCTGGGCACTAAAAATTTAATCAGTTTTTCCTTGGGCGATGATAAAGATAAAAGTGAAAACAGAATTGGAAAATTTGAAACCGTTCGCCAGTTATCATGTGCACAGACGGACGGACGGACAGAAAGTCGAAAATCAGGAGCTCGTTAATAAACTATAAAAAGTGAAGATATAAATAATTGTATAGATTGGTGACGAGTACTTAATGGGGTGCCATTATATAGTCATTTTGATAGCAACAATCTCCACTAAAGCGAACGTTAAGCACCATTCCATTCAATCACGTGGTTGCTGGTATCTGTTTCATTATTTGCTCCGTGAGTCCCTGATACACAGTACTATAGCAGGATGCGACTCCTAGAAAGTTTCCTTTTTTTAGTCATCGTACAGGTGAGCGTTCCTTTCGATTTTCTCTCCGTAACTTATCTATAATGCAGATTCAGTACGTGCTATCCTCCAAAGACCCATACGCTGATTGTCGAAAGAAAGTTAAAGTCAGCGAAAACGACGTGTTTCTGGTAATGAATGAGAACAAAACGGAAATCGACCACGTACTTGGACCTTACTTCGTTTGCGTATGGCAGCATCGAAAAGTACAAGTAATGAATAATGACGGGGCAGTTTCAAAGAGGCGTCTCGCAGAGTTCATTCTACGGGAACTGAGAGGGATGATGAATCTCCACGACGATATCCTAGCAGATTTGGAAACTGAAATTTTAAGGTGCGACTTAGAGCCTCGCATGTTTGTCGAGCAAACGGCTGTAGTGGTCAAAAATTGCCACGCGCACGTTGTTCTAACAGCTTTCGGTTGGAGACTTACGGGGGATGGAAAAAAAGACCGTCATCAGTCCTTCATATTAACTAATAGATAATAATTAATAAATTCTGGTTCACAGAGAAACATGACATTAATTTACAAAAAAATCAGAATCCTCCTATCCTAACACTGTTTGAAATTGAAAAGATATTGCAAAAATATTTATAGCTCTGAGTACTGTTAAAAGCGTTCTTTATCTCTAAGACTTTCCTATGAACCGTCTATGATCTCTCTACATCCCTCAGGGATTCACAAATTACAAAAGATTATAAGCCTTTTGTGTCTGAGGATAATGTCTCCAATTTCAATGATCTAAGGAGACCAAAGTTTTATTTCTTCATAGCTTCTACAGGAACTTTAACACTTTATTTACAAACGTTACAAATCTTACAGTTTGTCAAGCCCACTCAAAACTTCTTCTAACCGCTGAAGGGAATTAAGAGTTCACCAACCCTATGCTCTTTAAGAATATTTAAAATCTCTTGGGGGTTTTTAAAGGCTCTTCGGCAACTATTGAGAATAATTAAAGCTTTCGTAAAAATCTTTCCCAATTTTCCTACGCTCCTCAATATTACTCAAAACTTAATATACTTTTCTATTCTTTTCTGCACCCTTGACACTTTTTTGTTAAAGTCAAAAGTTTTCAATTCCACAGTCTAAAAACGCCCAAACCGCAATTACATTTTTAGGAAAGTCATTCCCTCAAATTTTTCAAAAAGTGCACACAATAGGTTAATCGTGGTTTCCAACAGAGCCAATTTTATTTTTCTCTAAGAATGGGTTTAACCGTTTCCTCAATCGGATTTTGGGTTTCGTGATCCAAAATGATCGCTAATAGGCTAGTAGGATTAAAATTGAAACCGGATTTAAATCCTGCAAAAGGTTTTGGTTTAATGGCTTCATTTGTTAAATTCTGCATTGAATAAGGTCAAACCCATATTGTTTGGACCACCCGTTCCCATACTAGTGCTCATCGAAATTGAACAAATGTTGTATATCTATGAAAAGCTAGCTTTTGCCCTCGCGACTTCGTACAGGCTACTCCTGAGGTAATCTTTATCTGGTTAATGGTGGTACTTTACATAAATTGAGATTTGACCTGTTTTCCAAAGCCCTTGTAAAATCCAAATTCAACATGGCATCCCAACCAACACCCGAAGCAGCCCTCAAACACTGTTTCAGAATTGACCTACAAATACAAGTGTGGTTAGGGCACCAGACGGATCTACTCCTCTGGGGATGGCAGGCTTAAAAGTGACCGCGTTTCTACCTCCAAGAAACCTGGTCCACAGTCTCGTCTTTCCATAATTTTTTACAAATGCAACAAGGGGTGTGCAGGTGGTTGTAAATGTCTGAAGGCTGGCACTAAGTACTCATTGATTTGTGTCTACTGCAAGGGAAACTCCAACCAGATGCAATTGACGAACCAGAAGTTGATCAAGACCTGGACTGAGTATATGGGGCGACGAAAATTACAGACTTTGAGAAGCTGATGAGACGACGGACTTCGTATCGAAAATAAGAAACTTTGAGGAGCCGAGTGTCCCAACGCCAATTAAACATCGACGTCTGTAAAATTTGTGTACCAACCTACCTATTTTTCCCCCTTTCTTCATACTTTTAACTATAGGTAAATTTTGTTATTTTTATTATTATTCTTATTATATTGTGAGTATTTTACAAAATATGACCGTAAAACCGCAAAAATACCCATTCACAGGTACTAATAATTTTAGTATCCAAGGTTAGACCCTACATACACTACACTTTAACTCCCCACAACTTAAGCACACCTCCCCCGGGGGAGAAAACGTACGATAGTCATATTGAGCAACAAATGCAGCCATTAAAAGAATAACATCTTTTGTAGGGTGTAAATCAGGTTCTTCTGATTGAATGGTTTTATTCTAATGGCTTATAAAGTAGAGCAGCAAAGTTGGCGGAGAAAGATCAATAATTTTGGAATATTATTTTGCCTGGATTTTGATTATTAGCAGTTTGAAAGTTAGGATTAGCCCTTTTTGAAAGTTATGCCCTTATTTTTAACGTGGAAACATGAGGATGATGAATATTAAGGCTTTTTAAGTACAATAATAAATTATGTCAGTATCTCGTCAATTTTGGGATTTGAAATTATCAATACTGAGCAAGAGTTGTTTGAACTCCCCAATCGTTGTGGAGGGTTCACCATCAAAAATCTTGTTAACGTTGTAAATGCGAAAAAGGGAAAACGAATTTGAAAAAGAATAAGTTCAAGAATGATAGAGATGTTGCCAGCTCATCAAAAACGCCCAGTTATGCAGGAGGATTCGAGTCAGTGTTTGGCGATGATTCCAACCTCAACTGATCACCTTTGATATGTATTTGGGAAATTGGTATATGATAGCAGACTTGCACGAGTCGCGTAATGCAAGTCACAGAGCTCACGCGTTTGTATAATGTAATAGTTTTGCAATATAGTATATTTCATTAGGAGTCCGGAAAGCAGGCTTTTTCCGTGCGCGCGTGACAAATTCCCGTGTGAGGCGTAGCCGAACGCGGGAAGACATGCAAGCACGGAAAAAGCATTTCTGGACGTGTAATGAACGATATTTTTTATTATACTTCTTTTAAATCGATAACATAAAAAACAACAAACTCGCTAACATTTTTATTTTGTAACAGTTATAGAAAATGCGTTTTCATGGTTACACTCAAATCATTTCAAAGGCGATTTGTTTAATTAGTTTATTTCAGATAAGGTTGACGGAACGTCAAAAAATGTCACAAATTCTCAAAGAAGTTTATCTAAATATTCAAACATCTACGAATTAAAACATAAAATACTTACATATGAAACATTACAACGCATATAGAGTTCCTGAAAATTAGTTTCCTTCCCTGTAAATTTGTATTTTAAAGCAATATTTTGAGTATTTATATTCAGCGCACGGAAAGAATCAAAGGGACCGGGAAAAGTTTTTACTCACAATCGGTTAGTATTATCTGAATTCCTAACCTTCATAGCGGTTGCGAAGCGACTCATTACTCACCTTAGCCGGGAAAGTAAGCTGTCACTTTCCCGGCTAGCATCTGCATTTCCTTACCTGAAATGCTATTCATATTATCCTTATATGAAACTTATACTAATAGTGAACCGCCAACGACTAGCAAATTACGAAGAAGAACGAAACTATTTGCTATTGTTGTAAACATTAATGGTTACATTGGCGGTGTCACTTTATTGAGTTAAAGTTAAAGTTAAAAACACCTTGTTGAATTATATACTTTACCTTAAATGATCGATTGTGAGTAAAATAGTATACAAACCTCGCTGGTCAGTGGTTCATAACCAACGCCTCGCGCTTATACCTCACCTCCGCGCTTCGCGCGTCGGTGAGGTACCTTAAGCACAGCTTACTTACTATCCAGCTGCACAACTCTCTTGGCGGGAGCGGTTTGCGCCGATCTACGCGCGCAGTGCTTATGCCCCGCCTCTTGGGGTAAAAGACTGCATTGCCTGTTTTGGCGTGCAATCAAGCCCAGTGTTGCCACGTAGTAAATCAGATTTACTCACACTCACAATTGCTAAAAGTAGACATAACAGGCGCGTTTTTCAGTTTCAATTAGGCAATAAAATTTATTAAACACTTTCATTGCAATATTACGTAATATTGTACAGCAAATTCTAAACGTTCACATTACAATACAGCACAAAAATCACCTACTACGGTACTGTGAAGCGACCGTGCGATGAAAATTCGTTTAATCCGGCCCCGACTTTTACCCCAAGCGCGAAAAAGTGCGCACCATTCTATCTCGCTTGGTTGTGGACCGCCAGATCAAAGGCGCCGCTCGAGAGTTGCGGAGCTGGATAGTAAGTAAGCTGTGCCTTAAGCCCTCGGCGTAGGTAATGAACCACCTCCCAGCTCGGTATGTAATCTACTATTCCGTGCGCTAGCCTGGAAAAGGACAGATACCATTATTTCTAATACAGGTGTAAATAAGGTGATTTCAATGAAGTATAATAAAAAATGTATTTCAGTATCCTTCCGTTATATGTGTATATATCCAGGATATCTAAATACAAAACAACCTTGATCTATTCACCCTCTTCAATTCCGTGATGCTTAGATACGGTCATTGATTGCATGGTTTGCGTGGTTGTTGTTGCGGTACTATTAATCTTGCTTATGGATTGAACTGTAAGAAAGATGGCCATGATCAGCACCGTGATCAGTGTGGTGGCATGGTGAATCTTGCTTGGTATGGCGTTGGAATCCAACCCCAAATGACAGAAGCGAGCGATGGTGTTCCTACACTGTATGGGGATTTCAAGTCTGGGAAGGGTCGAGTTTTTCGATAATTCCATTGTAAATGCAGACGCTCCCAGAGTTGGAATGTGACATCCAGGTACTGCTGCAAAAGACATGAGGAGATCATTTACGCCTCTAAACTGTTCAGTAGGACATGTTTTCCATCAATAGTTATGACATTTACCGAGAGGGAATTGTAAAAAAAAAACTATTTGTGTGGCCCTTGGTAAAAAAGAGCGTCGATTGGCAAAATCAAACATTCAACAAAAATGCCGAGCGTTTTATTTGTACTACTCAATGGTGTGAATAAACTAAGACATCGATTTACTAGGCAAATAATCGGTGTCAATTGATTTTTCACAGTTTTAATAATTATTATGTCTGCCAGTTTAGCACTTAGTACCGTTATTAAAACAGCCACAAGAGCGGGACAACGCACACTTAATTAGGTTATCCGCTACTAGAAATAATAAAAAAACAAAAAGGTGATATAAACCACGATTCACAGTTAGTCGAAAGAGTTGCAGTGAGAAATTCGCGCATCGATGAAGTCAATTTGCTTAGTCTCCCTACTAGCGGTACTAATAAAGGTAAAATAATTCCAATTATATTGTCAAACTAAGAACGAGTGTTTTTAGTGCACAACGTGCAGCACGGATCCGTACACAGAATGCCTAGACGAAGAGAAAGTGAAGAAGGAGAACTTACATAATGTGACATTCGAGACTAATCCACCAATTGACAGTAAATCGGGCGAGTACTTCTTATGTGTATGGAAAAAGATAGGAGTAATGAACCATGATGGGGACGTTGACAGGGAACGGTTCAAGAAATTTATTGAGGAGGAGATACAGGGAGTGCGGCACGTTACACCTTTCCTACGTCAACTTGTCACGGCAAGTATATTGGATTGTGATTTAAAACGGGCCGAAGTTCCTAAAGAAACAGCCGTAAAGGTGAAGAATTGTCACTCTAAGATCATTGTTAACGTTCTTTCATTGTAATTAATTATCGTTATAGAAAATTTCCAAAGATAACTATAAGTCAGGTCAGTAGGATTCTGTACCCACTAAGGGTCGTTCCGTTTCACGTCAATTTATTTTGGAAATCCATCGTTTCAATAATATTATTCGCCGGTTTTGTCACGATAGTAAAGTTAATTGGAAGATTAATATTAAGCCTGAAGTACAAATTATTTATTGCGTTTACGCCAATTAACGTTGATGATTGCATCATACAATTGAACTGAAGTCTTCTTTTTGCACTTACTGTATATCATGGCGTTAAAAAATAAACATTGTGTTTCTTTGTTATTGTTATTCTATTTTCTAAGCTTTTTCCTTTCAGAAAAATGATGATCTTGGTCTTAGGTGAAAACATGAAATTATTTGGAGTTTTGAGTAAATGACGAGTCTGTAATAAGTACTGTAAATTTCATATGGTTACGAGGGGTAGACCACTGAGCAAAAGTGTGTACACTAGAATTGGCGCAAAGAGCAGTCACCTGGTGTCCAAAGGACAGCTCGAGCCTCTTTCTCATCTCTTAGTTAATATTCTCAATTTTATACCTACTGCTTACAAGCCGAAAATTTAAGACTTCTGCCTCTAAAATCAAATCAAGTGAATCTATCTACAAAGTAATAGCATCGTTTGACTCAAAACGCGCCGCCTTGCAAAGCTACTTCGCAAACTCGCTTTCCTCGCAATTGTTAAAGGTGCACGGATTATATTTTCGTGAATTATTTAAAGATTGATGGCATCATTAATACTTAATACATAATTAAACACGAGAACATAGCTTCGACTTCTGCGCCGCTTCGCCTCCCTAGCTTACAATCTTTTGAGGATTTCTTTAGCTTTTTTTACAATGATAAAAAATTCAAAGAACCAAACACCAAAACATTAAGGCTGCTGCGCCGCCTCACCTCGCTACCAGATTAAAAACTATTGATGGTTCCGAATTTAATTTCGCAAGCAAGAAGTCTGATTAGAGTGGTCGCAAATTCAGGGGTTTTTTCGTTAATAATATACATAAGCAAGACAATAATTTTACCTACTGTTTTACAACTCTAGAATCTCTCATTTAAAGTTTAATTGAAATAGCAACAACAGAAAAGCTGACACAACAGAATTTACTTTTTTTTTCCCAAGAAATCCTTAACTTGCAGTGTAGAATACGTAACATCAGGGGCGGACTGGCCCGGGGGGCGGGTGGCCATTGCCACCTGGCCTGTAGATTATAATGGCCCGTTGGAAATTTATAAGTATGTGCTGTATTTAGTTTCTTGCACTATTAATAAATTATTAACACGTCTAATTGGGGTTGATGTTAGGTTGTTTTTGTTTTTGTGGTGCACCTCAGAGTTACCCCCCCCCCCTCCGCCACCATCATTACTAAAGTAATACTTTAATGGCCCGTAACCTATGCAATTCCACCTGGCCCGTAAGTACCCAGTCCGCCCCTGTAGTACAACATTCCTTTTTTACCAAAATTCGACTACACCAAAATTTCTCGGGAAAACACTTTTTCTTATTAATTTGGGTGCGTAGAATCCAAATCAATTCGTACTTTTTCGATCAGACTTCTCAATCAAAGGTTATAGACTAGAAACCAATTTCGAAAGAAAATTCAAAGGGCTGTAACTTTTGAACTAGTAGCCTTGGAACTGTTTGAGATTATGGATTCTACAGGCCACATTCTATAAGAAAATTTTTTTCCGGGTCGATCTGAGACCATTTTTTTTTCGGGGCTTAAAAAAGGGCAGTGTATAATCTTCCTTTTTTCCCAAAAATCGACTACACCAAAATTTCTCGGGAAAACACATTTTCTTATTAATTAGGGTGCGTAGAATCCAAATCAATTCGTAATTTTTCGATCAGACTTCTCAATCAAAAGTTATAGACCAAAAACCAATTTCGAAAAAAACATTCAAAGAGCTGTAACTTTTTAACTAGTAGCCCAATCTTGGAACTGTTTGAAATTATGGATTCTACAGGCCACATTCTATAAGAAAATTTTTTTTCCGGGTCGATCTGAGACCATTTTTTTTTCGGGGCTTAAAAAAGGGCAGTGTATAATCTTCCTTTTTTACAAAAAATCGGCTACACCAAAATTTCTCGGGAGAACACTTTTTCTTATTAATTTGGGTGCGTAGAATCCAAATCAATTCGTACTTTTTCGATCAGACTTCTCAATCAAAAGTTATAGACTAGAAACCAATTTCGAAAAAACATTCAAAGGGCTGTAACTTTTGAACTAGTAGCCCAATCTTGGAACTGTTTGAAATTATGGATTCTACAGGCCACATTCTATAAGAAAATTTTTTTCCGGGTCGATCTGAGACAATTTTTTTTTCGTGGCTCAAAAAAAGGCAGTGTATAACCTTCCTTTTTTACCAAAAATCGACTACACCAAAATTTCTCGGGAAAACACTTTTTCTTATTAATTTGGGTGCGTAGAATCGAAATCAATTCGTACTTTTTCGATCAGACTTCTCAATCAAAAGTTATAGACTAGAAACCAATTTCGAAAAAAAATTCAAAGGGCTGTAACTTTTGAACTGGTAGCCCAATCTTGGAACTGTTTGAAATTATGGATTCTACAGGCCACATTCTATAAGAAAATTTTTTTTCCGGGTCGATCTGAGACAATTTTTTTTTCGGGCTCAAAAAAAGGCAGTGTATAACCTTCCTTTTTTACCAAAAATCGACTGCACCAAAATTTCTCGGGAAAACACTTTCTTATTAATTTTGGTGCGTAGAATCCAAAACAATTCGTACTTTTTCGATCAGACTTCTCAATCAAAAGTTATAGACTAGAAACCAATTTCGGAAAAAAATTCAAAGGGCTGTAACTTTTGAACTAGTAGCCCAATCTTGGAACTGTTTGAAATTATGGATTCTACGGGCCACATTCTATAAGAAAATTTTTTTCCGGGTCGATCTGAGACAGTTTTTTTTTCGGGGCTCAAAAAAAGGCAGTGTATAGGTAACATAATCTGAACCGTTTTTTGCATGTAAAACACCATCTCGATGATGTGGCGATAATAACGATTTAAAATAAAGATGTTATTGCTAGATATGACGCAGATGACTAATAAAGCTCGCCGTATTCCTGTCGACAAAATAAAAACTTGAACTTAATATAATGAATATTTGCTTGGTGGAATGTTACTGAAACCTTGGGCATTTTTAAACTTAGAAATTATCTTTCTGCATATTTAAATGGGAAAATCGCAAAAAAAATTACGCAAAATTACTGCTCTTGTTACTGTACCCCCTTCTGTTTTCTAAACGAAGAAAACCTGATGAGCTTTGAAAAGCAACAAGCTTTCCCTAAAAAATTCTAATCATAATCCAACTTTAACACTTCGACATGATCTAAATCCAAAATATAGAATTCCAAAATTTCTACTCTCCAATCAATCATATCCAAACTTATCCCAACTTAAACTACATAAAAATGAAATCGCACCCATGTTTCCTAAATACCTTGTGCGGACCTTGCCTTGTTGAAGTAGGAAAAAATTGGCAAATGTAGAAAATCCCACCACAAAAAAAATGTGCTTATGAACGCCACAACATAAGCACCCAACGAAGAAGCGTTGGCCTTGAAAACTGGGGAAAACAACCACCCAAAAGTTACAAAGATTCCCGAGAAGCGGGGCGGTCTGAAGGTCCTAAGAAGGGAACCCAACACCCTACTAAACTTTAATTTAAAATGTCACCTGTCCTGCGCCATTCAAATACTCAAAAATCTCACGTGAATTTATTTATTTATGATCGGTACAGACGATTACTGCACTACCGTAAAATGTACGTTCTAAATTTCGTCACTCCAAATAAAATGGCTAAATGTTCCAATGTTATGCTGTTTTTCAGCTTCTTTTAATCCCATACTGGCACTCTACAGTTTTGAGTAATGTACAAACAAATAGTCAAATAAATATACTCGAACACATCCGATATTGATTGCGTATATGCCTCACGCGTCTTTGATATTGGAGGTATGTTAATCTCCTGGTTTGGATGGTGAGGGAGGAACAGTAGAAAACGTGATTTATTCGAGCGTCAGATATGTTAATTTTGGACCTCTTGGCCCTAACAGCAAATCTCCAAGTGCATAACTTGATTCTTAATTTGCAAAACTTTACACAGTAAAAAAAGTATTAGGACTGTTACCTTAGGTGCATTATTTTGTGATCCACGATGCTAAAGTATTTGAAAGCGTTTCATCAATTTTTTATCGTCTGTCTGCTCTTCGAGTTTAGGATTTTAGGCACTGTTAAAGATGATATTAAAGGCCATCCTAATCTGTTATAAAGACTTGTTGGAGGTTTTAAGAGCTACTAGAAACTTGAGACCATTGATGACTTTTGGAAGGTGAATAATACGTTAAATGTATGAAAATAAAGCCTTTTAAAGTTTCTGAAAGCCTTGAAAGTCCTAAAAGTTCTTTAAATACCCTTCAATACTCTTACACGCCTTGAACGTTCGTGAAGGGTCTGCAACGGTGGTCAAGAATCAGATATTAAACACAGATCGAGAATATTAAAAGCTTTTAGAGACTCTTAGGAATTATGAACAGCATTCGAGGGTAAATGTTCTTCTTCAGGACTGCTGAAGCCTCGTGAAACCTTTGCATGCATTTAAGATCTTCTAGAAAGCTTTTGGCGATACCCTTGAGACATCTTTGAAGGTCCTTGAATACTTTTCGATGCTATTAAAGGACTACAGGGCTGTAGAACACTCTGAGAAAGCAATTACGCTTTATAGGTCTTGGACGTATTTGTACTTTTACAATATTCAAGTGAAATATTTATCATACTGGTACTATCAGCTCCATCTGCCGCTGTTATTCTCACAATGATCGCGGTGATATCCCCGAAACCTACAATGAAAACTCTGGGCCTAGCTAGTAAACGAACCCGACTCGAACGGAGTCCTACACTTTCCTAACGCAAACTGTCGCCGCCTGCTGTATTGATTTGACGTTAAACGAGGCACTTTTAAATATAAAATATAAGGGACGCGCTCCGTTTTCTCTCCCACGTTATCCACTTGCTACCTTCCTTTAGCCAAACAAATCTTAATTCCGTATCGATAAAGTTTGTTTGCGCAAAAGAAACGAAGGCCTTGCACGATAAAATATATTTGGCAAACAACTTATCAATTTATGAGACGGTAAATATTGATGTTAATCAAAGAATTAGGCGCAAGATGTAATCTTTCATTTAGATTTCAGAGTTTTCTTTGAAGACTTTTGCTACACCTATTT